CACGAAGCGCTGCCCTGGGTGGGGAACCGCATGCGAAAACCCCCACTGGGGCCTTCGGTGGAGCTCCCTATGGGGCTACGAAACGCTGCCCTGGGTGGGGGAACCGCATGCGAACACCCCCACTGGGGCCTTCGGTGGAGCTCCCTATGGGGCCACGAAACGCTGCCCTGGGTGGGGAACCGCATGCGAACACCCCCACTGGGGCCTTCGGTGGAGCTCCCTATGGGGCCACGAAACGCTGCCCTGGGTGGGGGAAACGCATGCGAACACCCCCACTGGGGCCTTCGGTGGAGCTCCCTATGGGGCTACGAAACGCTGCCCTGGGTGGGGGAAACCGCAGGCGGGGAAACCGCAGGCGAACAACCCCCACTGGGGCCCTTCGGTGGAGCTCCCTATGGGGTACGAAGCGCTGCCCTGGGTGTGGCGAAAACAGTATGCTGAAAACTCCACAACTACAGTGTGCCTTCGGTGGAGCTCCCTATGGGGCCACGAAACGCTGCCCTGGGTGGGGGAACCGCATGCGAACACCCCCACTGGGGCCTTCGGTGGAGCTCCCTATGGGGCTACGAAACGCTGCCCGGGGAGGGGGAACCGCATGCGAACACCCCCACTGGGGCCTTCGGTGGAGCTCCCTATGGGGCCACGAAACGCTGCCCTGGGTGGGGGAACCGCATGCGAACACCCCCACTGGGGCCTTCGGTGGAGCTCCCTATGGGGCTACGAAACGCTGCCCTGTGTGGGGGAACCGCATGCGAACACCCCCACTGGGGCCTTCGGTGGAGCTCCCTATGGGGCCACGAAACGCTGCCCTGGGTGGGGGAACCGCATGCGAACACCCCCACTGGGGCCTTCGGTGGAGCTCCCTATGGGGCTACGAAACGCTGCCCTGGGTGGGGGAACCGCATGCGAACACCCCCACTGGGGGCTTCGGTGGAGCTCCCTATGGGGCCACGAAACGCTGCCCTGGGTGGGGGAACCGCATGCGAACACCCCCACTGGGGCCTTCGGTGGAGCTCCCTATGGGGCCACGAAACGCTGCCCTGGGTGGGGGAACCGCAATGCGAACACCCCCACTGGGGCCT